CCMMSRARSCCCCMYKGGYGYGCTTACCGGGCTGTGCTCCCTGCCCCGGGGCGGCGGGGAGCTGCGGCTGGAGGCCGGGCTGCCGGTGCCATCGCGGCGCGCGGCGGGCGCCCGCCCGGGACTGCCCGGCTCCGACGGGGGGTCCTGGGCACAGACAGGGCGCTCAGGGCGGGGGCTGCACGCGGCCCCTGCCTCGTCCAGCTCCGCGTCCTGGCCCGCGGAGCCGCTGCTCCGGCCTCCGCCCGGCACAAAGTCAGCCCCGGCACCGGCGCCACAGGGCGCTGGGCGCCGCGGGGGCTCCGCAGGGCGCTGGGTGCCGTGGGGGCTCCGCAGGGCCCTGGGCGCCGTGGGGGCTCCGCAGGGCCCTGGGCGCCGCGGGGGCTCCGCAGGGCGCTGGGCGCCGCGGGGGCTCCGCAGGGCGCTGGGTGCCGTGGGGGCTCCGCAGGGCGCTGGGCGCCGCGGGGGCTCCTCAGGGCGCTGGGGGCTGTGGGGGCTCCGCAGGGCCCTGGGCGCCGTGGGGGCTCCGCAGGGCCCTGGGCGCCGCGGGGGCTCCGCAGGGCGCTGGGTGCCGTGGGGGCTCCGCAGGGCGCTGGGGGCTGTGGGGGCTCCGCAGGGCGCTGGGTGCCGTGGGGGCTCCGCAGGGCGCTGGGTGCCGTGGGGGCTCCGCAGGGCCCTGGGTGCTGCGGGGGCTCCTCAGGGCCCTGGGGGCTGTGGGGGCTCCGCAGGGCCCTGGGTGCCGTGGGGGCTCCGCAGGGCGCTGGGTGCCGCGGGGGCTCCTCAGGGCCCTGGGGGCTGTGGTGTGGGGGGCTCAGGGGGGCAGCAGGGCCCGGTCAATGTCCCTGCACCCCTGGGGACGCGGGCAGCCCCCGCAGCGAGGCCGCCCCTCGGCCCTGCGCTCCGCAGCCGCTCCCTTGCGCTGCGGGTTTATCAGCAATTACACCATGAGCAGCTTTTCTGAGGGTCTTTTCTGTGCGAACGGCAGCTGCTGCTCCGCTCAGAGCCTCCGTTCTGGGGAAGGGCCAGGAGGGGATAACGGAGCATGGGTTCCAGCCCCGCTCAGCTTCCAGGGAAGGAAAGAAAAGGGTGTCCCCAAAGGGTGTCCCCAAAGGGTGTCCCCAAGAGGATGTTCCCAAAAGGGTGTCCCCAAAAGGGTGTCCCCAAAGGATGTACCCAAAGGGTGTCCCCAAAAGGCTGTCCCAAAAAGGATGTTCCCAAAAGGGTGTCCCCAAGGGGTGTCTCTGCCCAAAGAGCCGGGCCGGGATAACATGCTGCTCTCTGCTGTGGTGACGCAGAGAGGCTGCAGGCACCCATGAGGAGCTCATCCCGTCCCAGAGGGGCTGGACGGGCCGGGGACACGGAGACTCCAGTCCGCGCTCGGAGCCGGCTGTGAGCAGGGACAGAACCGGCTGCTCAGGAGCCCCAAGCGCGGGGCCGGAGCCCCGAAATGCCGAGGGCCCCGCGAGGCTCCCGTGCGCCCCGGAGAGCCCGGCCTCACCTCGTCCACCACCAGGTTGTAGTCGCTCTTGTCCCCATCACTGTCCTGCAAGCAAGAGGAGCCCAGGGGCTCCGTCAGGAGAGGAGGAGGTTGCAGAGCCTGGGCTCTGCTCCCTGCCCCTGGCAGCACCCAGCCCCTTCCCCGCGTGCTGGATCCTGGGGACAGGGACCCCGTCCCAGGGCAGCCCCCGGCAGCACAGGCCTCTCGGAGCGGAGCCATCAGCTCTCCTTGTCCTGCAGGATTCCTGCCCTTTCCCTCCCGCCTCCGAGGCCGCGGCTCTTCCCGCTCCGCTCCCGGACACAGGGAGCTGCTCCGGCTCATCCAGTGCTGCAAGGGGGCGCTCCCCCTTCTGCCCAGCACCCCAGGGACCCCCGGCCGCCCCCAGCCCCTTCCCGGCGCCCGGGCCGCGCTCTGCCGCTCACCTCAGGCCCAGGCAAGTCCTTCTCGTCCCGCTTGCGCTTCAGCCCCGCGCTGCCCGTCCGCTCGGCGTCCGGCAGGCTCTCCGGAGGGGAGGCAGAAATGCTCTGCGATGGGGCGGGAAGACGAAGGGAAGGGGCTGGAGGGCAGCAGCGCTGCTGACCGTGGTTCCCTGCCTGCTTCCCAATATCCCGGCAGCTTGTGCACAGCCCGTGCGGCCGCAGCCGCCGTGGGCGCGGGACCCTACCCGTCAAAGGGGGGTCGGAGCAGAAATGGGGCATTGCCGACACTGCTCAGTGTGGGGTGATCAGGGGCAGGACCTGGCCCGTGTTCAGCCCCAACGGGGCCGGGAGGAGGGAAGAGGGCAGGGCTGGTGTCCGAGGGGCGGCCGTGCCCGCTGCAGACGGATCCTCTCCCTCCATGGGGAATTGTGGCCCCTGCAGCAGCCCTGGGCAGGGAGCAGGGCGCCCACAGAGCAGCACCAGGCCGTGATGCAGCCGCGGGGTGGCAAAGGCGGCGGGGGATAATCCCCACTCTCCGCTAGGAAGCTGCACTTGAGAGGGGCCGCGGYGCGCCCAGACCCGGCAGCTGGCACGCACGGAAACGGCGCCGGGCGCCGCATGTGCCCGGCCCCGGGTGGGGAAGCAGATCCGCCCCTTGGGAGATACCCGGGATGGCGGGAGTGGAAAATCCCCGCTGGAGGCTGCTCTTTGCTCGGCCGTCACCCTGGTCCCGYGGGGCTCGGGGAGCGGGACGGGGCCGAGCGGGATGAGGGCCCGTCCCGGTGGCGGCCGCGGCCCCGCGCTCCATCCCGCTCCCCGGGCGGGCGGATTGTGCCGCAGCCGCGGGCAAGGGCGTCTTAAATCCCTTCCCCGGGCTCGGCGGCTGCTTCCTGGGCTGCTGACACAGCCCCGCGGCGCCCGCCCGCGGCGCCCGCCCACGCGCTGCTCCGCCGTGCGCGGCAGGACACGGGGCTGCGGGATGAGGATCCACGGCACGTTCCGGGCGCGGAGGAGCCGGCTCTGCCCCGCTGCTGCCTCGGGGGCAGCGCCCGGCCCCAGCCCCACAGTGTGGGCTATAGGTGCCATAGGGCCACCCTTTCCCTGTGTGCCAATGACGGCAGCTCGGGCTGCTGCCGCAGAGGAGAGCAGCTCCCTTCTCTCCGGGCTGTTTACTTCCAAAGGTCGGGAAACAAAGCATTCCCGGGAATCCTACCAGCATGCTGGAAAGGGAGCAGGCTGTGGTGCTCCAGCACAGCAGCCCCGTGCCAGCCCCGTGCCAGCCTCGGCGCTGAGGTCCGAGCTCTCCCCGCTCCTCCAGCCTCCCCGGGACCACGTTATTTCCAGCAGCACCGGGGGCCCTGCAGGAGCCGGCAGCAGCTCCACAGCTCGGAACCGGCTCCRCTTCCCGCCCTCTGGAGCAGGAGATCCGGGATAAACGGCCCTCAAGTCCCGAGGACCAGGCACACGAGCCAGCGCCGGGACCTACCCGGCTCGGGGTGCGCTCCGGYGTCCGGGCGGCTGCGCGGGAGCAGCCGGGAGCATCCACGCGGCACAGGGAAGGAAAAGGAAGAGGCTGTTAGTGCCATGGCAGAGGCTGGAGGAAAAGGAGGGGCAACAYGGAACCGGAGGAGACCAGGCTGAAAAATCATGCCCAAACTCCCATTTTGCCCACGTGCTGGGTGGATTCTCTGATGTCTAACAGGAGCTGAGCACGCTGGGCTCTCTCGGGGAAGCAAGGGGAAATCTATCCAGCCCTCTACTTCCAAAAAATGTATTAGAACTTGGCAACCTCTAGGCTGGAATTAGCCACCGGGCCCCACAGTTCTCAAGAAGCGACAAGCAGACTCGCTCGCGAGGCCTCGTGAGCCCTGGCCCGCACGTCCCCGGGGAGCTGCGCTCAGGAGCCCAGCTCAGACACCCTTCGCTCGCGGCTCTTTCCCAAGCAGTTCGGAAGGGAGCAGCTCCATCTCCCCGAGCCTGGAGCCAGGCCTTGGCTCCCAGCCTGCGCTCTGGGTTATCGCCCGGGCTCTGGCGCTGCTCCCCGGCTCTGTGCTCCCAGCGAGCGCGTCCGGATCCGCATTCGGAGCGGGTCTGCGGGCCCGTCCCCAGCGGGAGGACAGATGCTCAGCACCGCGGCGCGGGGCTCTCGGGGACACCGGCCTTGAACCGGGCGGCCCGGGAAGGGGAGGAGGGGATGGAGGCAGCGATCCCTGCGGAGCAGGGCTTGCCCCACGCCTGCTTTGCATTGCTATGGGGCACCAGGGATTAACCCAGACCATATGGGGCGCTCCACGGGTCCTTGCTGAAGGGGGAAGCACTGCGGGTGCCTGTGCCCTCTGCCCTGGCTGGCCTCTGGCCAGATGCTTTCCCAGGCCCGGCCCTGGCACGAGCCGAGCCCGGGAGCCTCTGGCTTCCTAAGGGTTAAGCCCAGCCGGCTTTTATCCTCTCTGGAGTTTGTTTTCCTGCTGGGGGAAGGCCATCCTTAAAGCCACGCTGCCAGAATGAAAGCGGCGCACACCTGCGCACACGGGTGCAAGGCAGACGTGCGCATGCAGGCACAATTTCCGCATGCTATTTTTACCACCTTCAGATCACACAGGCAAACCCAGATCGTTAAGGAAACGAAGCAGCCCCTCTCCCTGGTGACCAGCTTCCCTGTCACCACCGAGTCCCGCTCCACTCGCAGACCCCCCTCTGAGGGACCCTCATGGGCTGCCAGGGTCTTCCCATTCCCATCTTCCCTAGAAGCCTGAGGAGCAGGACCACGAGGGCTGTTAATTTTTCCTGCCTGATTCTGTCCTACTGCCCAGGATGAGTCCCCGGTGTCTGTCCTGGGTAGAGGGTGGCCGAGCTCGTAGCGGGTCCCCTCTCAGAGATGCTTCAAGAGCAACAGGCCACCGGCGACCTGGGTGCTGCTAATAACTCATCCCAAGCCTGCCAGTAGCATTCGCAGAACTGCTTTAACGATGATTAAATATTGACGATGTCTGCAAGGCGCTTGGTGATGCTGATCGGAGGAGGCACCCAGGACGCGGGATTGTCACTGTCTACAAGGCACGGACGGGTGTCCTGTGGCCTTGCGGCACTAAAGGGCGTCCCCACAGACCCTCCGYTCCCGCTCCGCGTGGGTGAGGAGGGGGATGACTCCCGCCTCCAGCCGCTCTCGCCCCTTACCTCTGCTCTCCCCGGCCGGCGCCGCTCGCTCCTCCTTGGCGGGGGGCTGCGCCTGGGYCGCCAGGGCCCCCGGCAGCGCCAGGAGCCCCGCGGCGCTGCCCACGCCAGCCAGGGCCGGCAGGGAGCCCAGCGGCACGGCAGGCGCCTGGTGCGAGAGGTGCTGGAGCTGCTGCTGCTGGAAAGGAGAGAGCAAACGGTGCCCGTGCCGAGCGCGCCGCGACGGGGGCGCAGAGCTGCCGGCGCGGCGCGCGTCTCTCCATCCTCATCCTCCCCCTGCAGCACCCAGGCTGGGCTGTAACCCCCGTCCAGCTCAGGCAAGTGCAGGACGGCTCCGGCCTCTCTGCCCTCCTCTTTTGTCCCGTTGAACCCCAATTGCTGCCTCCGGCCGCCCCGGCTCGCCTGGGTGGATAGAGCCGGTCCCGCTCGCGCCGCGCAGCCCGGGAGCAGGGAAGTGCCATCTGCCCGGCCCGGTCACTCACCCCCACGATGCTGTTGAGCTCTGCCATGGTGACCTGCTTGGCCCGCTCCACCGCCTGCAGGACCTGCTGCTGGTGCTGGGAGGAGGAGCCGGGGCTTGCGCGGTGCTGGGGGCCCCAGCGCGGCCGCAGCTCCGGCGGGGACCAGGACACGAGGCGGTGCCTCCATCCCCAGGGCCAGGCACGGGGCTCCCCACAACTCTCCCCTTCCTCAGGCTGCATCCCGGCCCCTTCCCGGGACCTGGGCAGAGCCGAGGTGCCCACTTACCTCCTGCGTGAGGAAGGGGACGATCTGGGCGCAGATGGCGCTCAGCCTCTTGACGATCTCCGCCTGGGGGTCAGGGCAGCCTGTGGGCGYGGGAGGGCTCCAACCCCCTCGGGGCGACTGACAGGGGTGCCCGGAGCTCCGCACCCCATGCCCRGCTCAGCCACCGGGCTGTCCCCAGCTCCCGCCAAGGAGGGCTCCGCCGGGACCCCCGGCCTCCCCAGGCCGCCCCGGCTCCCCCCATCCTTGCGGCAGGGAATGCGGCTCCCCGGGCGCCGTGGAGCCGAGTCAGGGCAGCCCGAGCCGCCCATCGGCCGCAGCCCGGCCGGCTGCGCTTGCCCCGACCACGGCGGCTTCGCAGCCCCGGAGGYGGCGGGAAGGAGCGGAGCTGCTGGCGAGGGGCCGTGCGCTGCCGCCTCCTCGGCCCCAATATAATCCYGGCTCTGCCTCGGGGCAGCCACATCCACAGCTCCCATTTCCACCCCAGACCAGGCAGCTCCAGCCTGCGACAGCTGGACATACTGGGGAGACAGTCCCCTGGTCCCCCCAGGCTGCCGTGCACGAGGGCCGGCACACGGAGACCCCGTCCTGGGAATGGGGCGCGTGGGGCCCTGGCCACCCTGCCCTGATCCAGGCCTGGATGGATCCCAGGGCGCCGGAGCTGGGAGCGCCCTGCCAACCAAAGGAGCAAAGCGGAGCAGGCCGAGCCAACGGCGGGGAGCCGGCAGCTGACTCGCCACTTTGTCGGGCATCGCTCCAAACTAATTTCCCTGGCAGGGAGCCCGTGATGACTAGATTGATAAATCTGAAGAGGGAAAGCAAATTAACGCTGCAACAAAAGGGGACCCGGGAAGGGTGAAAACACTCCTCTCGCTTCAGGAGAGGAAAAGGGGAAAGGGAAGGGGAAAGGTAGGGGAAGGGAAGGGAAGGGAAGGGAAGGGAAGGCATTTGCAGGCCGAGCCAACGGCGGGGAGCCGGCAGCTG